TAGCAAACAAGCATTTGTTAAAGAAGAAATTCAATGAATACTAGACAATAAACTAATACAACCATCAAATAGTCTATGAATCTTATCTATTGTATTAGTACGAAAGAAGAATGAAAAATTACGTTTCTGTGTAGACTACAGAAAGCTAAATAGCATAACTAAAAAAGATACTTACCCATTGCCTTGAATTGACAAGATGTTAAATACTCTTACCAGATCATATTAGTTTTCTATACTAGACCTCATTAGTGGATAGCTACTGTATGCACCTAAGAAACTGAAAAAAGACTGTATTTGTTACTCATTATAGAACTTATGAATTTAATATTATGTCTTTTGAACTTTGTAATGCTTCTGCAACCTTCTAACGATTAATGAATCGAGTTTATAATAAGATTGCATAAAGATTCATAGTAATATACCTAGATGATATTATTATATTCTCCAAGATCTTTGATAAACATTTGCAACATCTCTGTAAAGTCTTTACTAGAATCAAATATGCCAGATTATGATTAAATATAGAGAAATATAATTTTTAAATGCAAAGATTACCATTTCTAAGATATATTATATTATCTAAAGGAATTATTCCAGACTCTGAGAAAATTGAAGCTGTTCAACAAATTCTACTACTAAAAATGTAACTCAATTACGATCTTTTCTAGAATTAGTAGAATACTATAGAAAATTTATTTGCAACTTTTTTGTGATTACAAAACTCTTAAATCAGCTGCTACAAAAGGATGAACCCTATAAGTGAACTGAAGCTTAACACGAAGCTTTTATTAAGCTTAAGCAAAGACTCACTAGTGTCTCTATACTCCGATATCCAGATTTCTAGAAAATATTAATACTAGCAACTAATGCTTCTTACTATAGATTTGATACTACCCTTAGCCAACTTGATAGCTATAATAAGAAACATCCTGTAGTTTATGCTTGTAAAAATTTAAAGAAAGAAGAAATGAATTATAGTGCCACTGAACTAGAATGTGCTGCCATAATTTGGGTCATTGAATATTTTTACAAATATCTTAGAGCTACCAAGTTTATTTTAATTACAGACCACTACGCTCTTAAATTGCTACACACTGCTGAACCTAAAGGAAGATTAGGATGCTGAATACTCAAGTTACAACCTTATAACTTTGAGATTATCTATAAATCTGGATGAATCCATTTCAATGTTGACACTCTTTCTCGACTCCTGACTCAGACCAAAGAACCCAAATTATTATGAACTTAGACCGGTATCATGAGTTGTACCAGTATCTAGATATAGACACTATTTCAGAAGACTTTACCGAAATCTAGAAGAAACAGTTAATTAATCAAGCTTGATATTTCGAAATTAGACACCACTTGCTTTACAAGAAGAATAAGAATAGAGTTAGTAATAAGAGTGGTTAAAACTTTATATACACGTATATATATAGAGGATTAATGAGTCTTATCATAACGAGCTTGGGGTGTAATAAACGATAAATCCTCAAATACTATATTGGTTCGGCATAAAAAGTGTGATAGGCATTTAAAATATTCACATATAGACCTATTTTTTTCTTTATTCTTTTGTTAAAGTGAGAAGCAATAGAGAATAATTAAGTTTACGAATATGATGTAATTTAATTGGTTGATTGTCACATGTTTCACAATTGGCCAATAATAACGTGTTATTCAATTTCATGTGACGACCAATCACGAGAAAGTTATCCTATAATGAGCAACCGTGCTTTTTTCATTTATTTGGACACCGTGCAATTAGAGATGGAAATCGGTCATAGTATGACCGATTGCTCGGTCAAATTGATCGTGACCGATCTTGGTGCACTATGTTCGAGCATGATCGATCATAATTTGATCGATCATAAATGTTTGATCATGCTTGAACATAAATGTTTGATCGATCATGCTCGGACATAGTACTCCAAGATTGGTCACGATCATTTTGACCGAGCAATCGGTCATACTATGACCGAGGTTCATCTTTATTCAATTGCTATCCATTATCGTTGTTGACAAAAAAAATTATTAATTCTTTTATACGTAATAAGTAAACTTGTCGACGAAGTGACAAAACATTCATTATCGAGATAAGATGACTTTATGAATCACATGCTTGGATTATAGTTTTAGCCTTTTATGAACTGTAATGGTTTGCTGTTTTCAGATTAGGTTTTTTTTTGGTTAAGTTTATGATCGCATATAATTGTTAAGTGGCGAACGAATATGAAGTTAACAAATTAGTGATAAAGTAAAGGGATATTTCCATATGGTTTCAAGCGTGAATCAGATCAGTGGGATGGTGGGAGAAAGATGTACCAACACAATTTTAAAATTTGAAAATTGGTGTGTCTTAATGATAGACTTACAAAAACTGTATTTCTTCTTAAATAATACAAGTTTCAATTGATAAAAATCAGCCAAAAATGGGGTCGTCTAAAGCCGTGTACTCACATGACTTTTTTATGTAAATCGACCAGAATTGCGAAATTTTGTTTACACTGATCAGCTGGAAGAAGTCAAAAAATAAAGAAATCGAAAAACGGCAGTCTAAACCTATCTTGGGACAGTAATTAAAAATATCGGGAAGGCAATTTTACATATACCTCTATTCTTATATCAACACCAAACTAACCCTAATCCTAACCTTTAAACGATTAAAACGCCAAAATTACGTAGGTACACGGTTTTAACCGTCCCCCAAGAATAGGAATATTAATAAAATGATTTATTATTTTTTTTTATATCAGAGATTACCATCAATATGAAACTAGAAAAGACATCACTAGAATAGAATAATTAGATGTTCTTAAACACGAAAAATTTTGTTGAATTTTATTTTTCTGGATTTTTGTTACCACTGTAGTATTGGGCATTATTATGTATTATTGATGGCCTACTGCAATCTTCACGAAACATGACTACACCAAAATTGCGCCATCAGATTTTAATATAAACAATATGATTTTAATATTAGCGTCATGAGAAATTAGAACTTTTTTGTTTAACTGTTAATGTGATCATACTGTAATAAATGAGATGGATGATGCTGAAATTTGGTGTCTTGATTTATTGAACTCTAGCCTAACTTATTTCTAAACAAATAAGTCCAAATTTCAGAATTATCTGATAATGTGTTAAATAAATTATAAATTTTACATACACTATTATATTAGATTCAACTAATCAGATTCATAATGGGAACCATCCCAAAATGTTCCAATACGTATTTACTCATTCTTGTATGTTTTTATATTATAAATAAATAAGTATTGATTTTTTTAGAATAAATTTATAATAATAAAAAAATTTTTTTGAGTTTTTGAAAAATTTGGGTCGGCGGGTAATGCAAAACGAAAAATAAACTTTGTGTGGCCTTATCTTTCTCCTCGCTATCGCTCTCACTGCAGGAAGGCTCTATCATCCTTCCCATCCCGCTTATGCTGCAGTGATCCACAACAAGTAAAATACTTGACGGTTGACATGTGAGACAAGGTATATTGGTAAGTAATGTCAGGCAGTAGCAGTGCAAGGACTTGTTTTTGTTTTTTGTTTTTTTTGTAACTATGAAGCTTCACGGCTGCTGTTGATTTTGTTTTTGTAGTAATTAGGCTCTGAGGCTGTAGTAGTAGTGCAAGAACCTTAGTAATTAGTCCTCACAGCTATGGTAATAGTGCAAGACCTTGTTTTTGTAGCAATTAGGCTTTGAGGCTGCAGTAGCAGTGCGAGAACCTTAGCAATGAGACTCCGCAGCTGCGATAGCAATGCAAGGACTTTGTTTTAGGCACAATAGCTACCGTAGTAATGCATAGACCTTCGCTAAATAGGTTGTGGGCTCTGCAGCTGAGATGTCAGTGCAAGGGTCCTTTTGTTGAAATAAGTAGCATCTGCATAACATTGTGAAACTGATTCTCTTCTTAGCTACATATGAAAATCATGGTTTATTAGTGACCTCTCTACATGTTGAGGATTATAAGAAAGTTATGTATTGACAGTTGGGTGTATTTAAAGTGGTTTGTAGCCAACTTGTACTGGGTGCATTGTCTTAGAAAAATAATATAGTCATAATGGATAGAGCTTGTATTGATAGTGAACAAATTCCTATGTGTTTTACAATTGTCTTTAATAAAGTCATCTGAACAATCAATTAAATATAACCTTCGATATGTAATTAGATATGAAAAAAAATTTCGTGATCATTAGGCGAGACCAATTTAATTCGGTGGTTTACGTTACATTAGGGTGGTAATTCGACTATCAAAATCAAACATATATGTAGTATCATATTGATCTATATTATTATATTTTTTTGTGTTACATAAATATTACACAAATGCTTTATTATACACTTTTATAGAACAATTGCTTGAATTTAACTGTAACTACTTTTTTTTTATCAAATTGAACCTACCTTTGAAGTAACTCGCTAGAGTTCTTAGGTTTCCTATATTATGATAATGTCTTCATTATCTTATTACTTCAAATAAAAAATCTCAAATTTGACGAATAAACAACATATATGTTTTTATTGCAATATTAGAAGCTTTGGCTTGAAACAATTTTTAAATCTTGCTATTTTATGGAGTTTTCGAGACATTTTGACAAAAAGCAGGTGTGTATAATTAATTGTATAAAGTTTTTTTTTTGTAAAACCTAAAATTGCGTGAATAGTTAAAATTCATTGAATTTTTATTATAATAACATCATTAACAATATCAATTAATTTACTTATATACATATAATATACTAGCTAGAGGGTATACAAATTAGAAACATTTTTAAGTGAGAATTATTATTCAAAAATGAATAATATTCTAATACACATCGAATACTACAAATCAGGATTCTTGTAATTTAAAAATTATGAAATATATCTAAGATCGCTTGTAATATAGGTGACACCACTAAAAAATGTATTATTAATCAATCGATTTAAAATAAATATCACTGCCGCAAAAAATTCTACATATATTTTTACTAAAAATTAGAGCAAAATGCCAAAGTTTTCTAAACAAAAACATCATTGTCAAAGAATTGCGAATAATAAACAAAAAAAAATTGTTACCCAACTTACCCAAGTTTCAAATAGTAGTCAGGTTACTGATGAGAAAGAAGTTCCTAATGAAAAACTAATTTTTAATAAAAAGCCAAACCTTAAAGAGGAACTTATGTTTGAAACTATTAAACAACTACTAAATGAACAACATTCTCATGCATATCACTTGTTTAAAACTATGCGGTATCCTAAAGGTCAACATAAAGGAAAAATTCTTTCTCCATACTTACAACATAAAGCATTAGCATCAATTAATGATACTCTTTATAAAACTACATCAATAGAATCATTAAAAAAATCAAATATAGAATTAAAAAAAAGAATTCGAAAATTAGAATGTCAAAATAACAGATTAATTCAATGAACAAAATCTTTTGGATCATCTTTACGCCATGTTCAAGAACAAAAATCACATTGTATTTCAACAATTCGTTCATTAGTTCAAAGGTCTACTTCGATATCTCCTGAAATTTTTAAAAAACATATTAAATCAATTTTTAAGACAAATAAAAGACAATATAGTTCAAATACTATTTGGTTGGCATCGCAAATATCACAAACAGGACAAATTTCAATGCGATCAACTACGAATTGTATGAAACTAGTATATGAGTTTCTGACAGGAGAACAGCCAAAAACTTGGTTTTCTCACAATTTAGTTTCTACATGGCATAAAGAAATTTCTACCATTCATACAGATTCACTACTTTTAGAGATTCAAAATTCTTCAAGCTATGGCATAATGGTAGATGAATCGAAACGAGGAGGAATTAAAAATTTTGTAATATGCTTTATGTTTTGGAGTCATATACGAAATAAACCATTAGCAACAATGACTCATCTTCGTATGCTCGACAAATGTAATGGACAATCAGTATCAACTACAGTTCAATTAATGTTAAAAGAGTCTGCAATTAGTGTTAACAAATGTTCTGTTTGGTTATCTGACAATACAGCTTATATGGCGGGGGATAAAAATGGTGCTGTAACTCTTTTTAATAAAGAAACCAAGTCTAATGTTACTAGAATTAGTTGTGGGTTACATGCGGTACATATTATTTTTAATAATTTTGAACAAGTATCATTTGGTAAGCTTCCTTCTTCTATAGGATTTTCAAAAGTAGCACATCCATATAATCTATGTTTCCTTGCCTGAGATTTACATGACGGATATGAATATAATGATAAAGATCAAGCACTTGGAATAAATACAAAAAAAATTCAAGATCTTTATTTTAATTATTTCGGATTCAATTTTAATAAATATCAAAAACCTATTCGTGGACGTTGGGGTTATGAGCTGCTTTCTGCTCAACAATATTTAGAAAGACGTCAATATCATTTAGAGTTTGCAAGATGGTTTATTAAGTCATTAGAAAATCTTCATAAACCTCTTCGTACATATCTTGATAAATAGATTCTTTTTTTACAATAGATAAAAGATCCAAAGCTTAATTTCCAAGTCAAATGTTTAGTACGATTTAGATTATATTTTTACTATCCATTAATGGAATTTATAAATGGACAAGATCCAATACCCCGAATTTTTAATGAAAATCATTTTGAACAACTTCCTTTTGGATTTCGTGCTCACGAAATGCCAGATAAGGTAGTAGAATGATTAAGTTACTTAAATAATATTAAAGAAAATTTTTATTTGTTTTTTGGAGATGAGCTATTAGAAATATTAGAACATGTTAATACAGAACAATTCGGTATTATTTTTGATAACTTGGAGCAAGGAATGCAAAAAGCTGTTGAATCATTTACAAAATGGTTAACTCCTTGGTGCCATTTACCTTTATCAATTTGTCGCCTTGGAGGAAATTTGGAACAATCATTTGTTAGAAGCTTTTGTTATATTATTTTAAAACAACCATGGAAATCAAATCCAAATCAAACTGAAATAAGATATGCTAATGAATTACAACAAGATATTAATAATTCAAATACTAAGGATTTTGGTTTATATGATTTATTAATGCAAGATAAAATATTTTTTGAAGAGTTTGAACAGTTTTGTGAATCTGAAAATCTAGCACTAAATTTATATCCATGTATTTATGAATTTGTAAAAACAAGGTCTTGCACTATTACCATAGCTGTGAGGACTAATTACTAAGGTTCTTGCACTACTACTACAGCCTCAG